AGTTCAGCTGGCCGAGCCGACCTTGCAGACTCGAAGTTAGATGTAGTCTTACAACGGACTCACTCATATAAAATACAAAAATTATCCAATACGGCCCTCTTTAAAGCAAACAAGATAATGTAATATCATCATAATGCACCTTTTCTTAACAATATATGAGAATCATTTTATGAATGAAAAAAGAGTTTGACATGATCGATCACTATTCATTACACTTGACTCATATCTCGCTCTCATTTTTTACTCTTTATTCCCTCTGTATGATTATACATGATAATAAGGGTTTGATATGTGTTTATTGTTTAAATCCAACAATTTTTTATTAAAATCGATGCGTACTAGAACGTTAGCAGCAGTAGAGTAATAGATTATCGTCTTAGCACTATACGAGAATTCAACACATACTCGAATAAAAGAAAACAATCAGTATTGACATCATAACTTTTTAAGTGAAAAATATATAAAGAGAAAAAAACAATGGGGTCTGACATAAATGTAAAATTCACTATACGTTGATGATTACAGAGACACCTTGTCCCACAAATAGGAAATTGTTACTAGGTTTTCTAAGTTACAACGTCGACTGACAGCTTCCGATCGGTGGTGGTCAACTGTGATTGGTGGTGATCATGATAGTCAGTGGTCGACGACAGTCGGTGGTGGTTTACAGTGACAGTGGCGTTAGATGAAAATTGATGGTTGTTCACGGCGGTTGATAGTGGTCGACGACGATCGACGGAGGCTCATGCTCGAAAAGCAGCCTCGAGATTCTGTCATGCCTCTGAGATTCATTTCAAATGATGAAAATTTGTTCATTTTCAACAAAATAGATACAATATTAGTTGTTTATATATTATATTTATGTTCCAATAAGTTTAAAAGTTTAACCATACGAAATCTTTCTTATTTTTTCTCGACCTTTTCACAAAAACTCATTGAATTAAAACAGCTGCCCGATGCCATTAAAACTCATCCAATTATACATACTTACATCTACTCTAATTGCTCATACAAAAATAAAATAAAATCCAATTCTTGCGAAAATTTTGGGGGGTTTTTTTAATAAATTTAGGCAACACACTCATATCTTCATAATGTCATGTTGTTGTGATCATTATACTTATGAAAATGATATAAATGTAAATCATTAAGACTGATTTAACGGGCAATGAAAATACGGCTATTTATACACTAGGCACAATTGCCAATGGTTTAATTTGATTTTTATGTTAATCATCAGTGTTGCCATAAGTAGCGGTCCCATGTGATATAACATATATTTTAGTGCAATTTGTATTCATGGCATGAAAATATTATTAGCAGTTGAGGCAAGTATATAAATAAATTTTAAATCGTGTATAATTGGTAGCTGAACCGACTAAACTTGCTCTGGTCTGAACCGGTCCGTTCTCTCTCTCTTTCTTGCTTCCAAGGCATATTATATCTGTCTTAAATTCTTTAATTTAATTGTGTCTGCTGTTGCTGACAAAAAGTCCCACATCAGCTAGGTGTAGGACCGAAGAGCAGCATTTAAGTCATGGGTTGCTCACCTCTCTTAAGAGCTCTTTTGGGATGTGACAACTGACAACAAAATAAATTACTGCCTGTCAGGTGTGCGAACTCTTCATGGTCCAGTGGAACTCTCAGTGGAGTCAATCCGTGACGAGGGCGTCACGTGATTGAATGGAGGAGAATGTCACAGACAAAAAGTCCTACATCAGCTAGGTGTAAGACCGAAAAACTGTATTTAAGTCATGGGCTGTCCACCACCCCCAAATAGCTCTTTTGGGAGGCGACACTACGCTGCTCAGTAAACTAGTGCAGTTACACCTTTCATCTTAAATCTCAACAATATATTAAACTATTAAGTACTTGAAATGGAGATAATACATGTCATTATATTTTAACTCATTTGAAAATCAATAAATGCTCATTGCAATATAATATTCTCAACTATTGTTGGCATTTAAAATCATGCTCAATTATATATGACAATAAACTTATAGGTCAAGGCTACGAGCGAGAGCAAGACCTGAATCTTTTTTACAATAAGAATGGAGTGTGATTATGCCAATGCATTTCTTCATGATAAACTCGACAATATTATCTGCATTTATCAACGCCCTGATTTTCAAGACACGTGATATCACAGTGATATATGATTATTAGAGATCGATGTATATGCGCTTTTGTTAGTTTTATAGCAATGGTTGTATACATTCTTAAACAAATGTGAAATGATTATAATTATTTTTAAGTGGTTTGAAATGATAAATAAAATAAAGAATATTAATAAACTATATTTTATCTATTTTTCTTTATTACACCGTTAATAGAATATTGTGAAGACATTTTTAAGAATACACATAATTCATGAATGCATGATGGTAAATAAAATACTTTTATTTAACTAACTTTGACAGACTATAAAATAGGAAGAAATGATAATATTGATTTCTACACTTTATCATGCCATGGGTTCATACACTTTAATACATAATCCATGAAACACAAATAGATACATTAATGATAAGAAATGTTATAACGATTGCATACATGCATAGTGAAGAATGTCACAAGTTATTAAGCGTTAGAAATATTTATATATGCTTGCATGCAAAAGCTTCGACTAAAACGACATCAACCAAAAAATACAGAATGCCGACTCAATTAAACATGCTTATGAGCCAAAGACTTTGAGTTTATTTTGGCTACTTTGTAGTTGATAATAAAATCTTAGCAAGCGACCAATATCAGTCTGTCTCGCCTCGCCTTGATTACAAGGTTGCAAGACCCGTAGTTAAAAACTTCAGGCTCTTCTTTAGGCTTCAAGCTCTCATCCCTTCATGAGAGGTGTGGGGATCTATTTATAAAGTTTTGGGTGCAATTAATGTCGGAATTTGAATCATATTGATCAGACGGTCCGGAGAGATTTCTATGATCATACTTTGGTTGACGGACATTTGAGTGTCTTAATGCTGTTAAAATTGAGAGGGGCTCGTTGAATTTGTCTTGTCGAGACACTCGATTTGACTATATAATCACTATATTTGACATTCTCTTGACATTCTAAATATGTCCGAAAAACTTTAAAGAGTGACTTAATGACTTGATTTGAGCTTGATTTGACTCGGATTGAACTAATTTTGATATTATTGGGTCCGTCTCATCAAATCGGTTAGTTTGACTATAAGTTCGTTGGAATCGCAGCTCTTGATGACACTTAATTGAATTTTAAATGTTTTTTGCTCAAAAATTATTTCGAGATTCGTGTTATGCCTAAAAATTTGTGTCAGATGATGAAAATTTGTTAGTAGTGTATCAATACTCGAAGAAAGATGAAATATGAACTTTTTTAATAAGCCGACCACAAACTACACTAATAATATATTTTTTTTGAAAGCCATGCATGCTCAGCACATGCAGGATGGACATTGTTTCCACGGGTGGGGGATGTGTATGGCGGTACGGTTTGCTAAGCCTTAACAAGTCTCAATCGCCTTCTCAGACATGTATGTATGTATGTAACACGGTATATAAAAAATATGAGATTAGTCGGGCATTTTTTTTAACGATCGAATGATTAATTCTAACAAATGTGGCGTTTAGATCAATCAATCGAAAGGATGTTAAAATGTATCTTTCACTAGATGATGATCAACCTTAAAGTTGATTGATAGATTGTTACGTTTTGAGTAAAATATCGATCGAGTTAAGGCAAGGCCAACAATCGACGAATCTCCCGCCAGCCGGCATCAATCCCTCAGCCTTAGTGCATTCAAATATCTTTATAGTTACTAAGTAGCCACTCTGAAAGCTGATGATAAATGTACTTGACTTGTAATTTTGTAAGATTAAGGTCTATCTCTATAAATAGGGGATTTGTACCATAAATAAAGATCACACATTTCTGTGATTCTTAATTACACACTCTCTCTTGATTCTATCTACACAACTTTTTATGCCTTGAGTGTGTTCGCTTTCACATACATGCCGCCGGATTTCCATTTCTTCACATATCAAACTCCTAAACATCGATTTTTACGTGCGGGCCACTCATCCCTAAGATTTAGCTATAAATGGGGTGGCCTAAACTTAAAAATCGAAGTTCAGACGTTCGATATGTGATGCATAGGAATCTGGTTGCATGTATATATCATATTTTTTACTCAAAATAAAATAAAATATAAAATTTTCACGTATTATCTAAAAAAAAATTGAAATGTTAGATATGCAAATTCATAAGAATTGAGTGGTATGTATGTAAATCATCCTCAATTTAAATTGATCTTATTCACCCAAAAAGATATATTTTTCTTAATTAAAAAAATTAATTAAATGCTCTCGATGAGTTTGTAGTTAAGCCATGAACCCTTCATTTGGATTTTGATTACCTTAAAATTTAGTATTATTATATATGAAAATGTTATAGCGGCAATAAATTTCAAGGATAAATATTAAAACATTTTAAGAAAATAAAACTAAAGATGATAAGAAATTATTTACATGCTTCATATGGAGCCCATTTACGAGCTATTTAGTTTTGCTAAATAATAAATGAAATTTTAAAGGAATATAATATAAAAGTTACTTAAAATATTTTAGTATCCTTTGATTCTATATAAAATAAATGTGGGATTATATATATAAATATTTAATTATTTAAAGGAAAATGAATACAATGTAAATAATCACATTAAAGGTGACTAGATACTTATGATAAAAGATAGTGTTGGACAGCGTTGGCGATCGATAGTAAATGATAACTTGTGGCAGCTGATTGGTGATGCTCGTTGAAGATGGGCATGCAGGTTGCAGTGATGATATACAAACAAATATTGGTGGTGACGTACAACTCCGAATGATGACAGCGGTGTCACTTTATACAAAACAGTGTACTTTAAATTTGTAAGATTTCAAATAATAGAAGAGGGAACATTACATATTGGACCTCCAATTTCTAAATACATAAAATTGTCGGGTATGCATGTAAATTCACCAAAAGTGAAATAAAATCCGACCAAAGAAAAATCTTTTGCTGCTCGGAAATCCTCTGCGAGGATGATAGGGATTTCGAGCTCTCCTTTCACCTACTCTTCAACCCCAACAACTGATCGCTGCCACTTCCCCGCCGCCGCAGACCGGCGTCATTCTCCACAGGCCCTACTTCGTCTGGGCGGAGACTCAAACCGACGACAACGCATGTTTCGATGCCGAAGCAGCGGAGGAAATCAGACATTCCCATCAGGTAATTCTTTGTAATTTAATCAGAAACTTTCAGGGTTTCTTCTCAGATGCTCGTTCGTCTTCGTTCAGTTTTTAAAAATTTGACTTGCTCAGTATTCAACCAATCGTGTTGGTCTCGGACATAATTGGGGATTTCAAAATTTTAGATATCCATTGTGAAATCTAAACACGAACTGCTCGACTGTTCTGAAGGTTTAAATGAAAATGACGGCCAAGGATCGGTTCATTTTCTAATGCCGTAGAGTGGCCGCTTAAGCCTAAGGAATTCTTATGATCTATGAGTGGAGGATAACTAGAGGAGCTGCTACACTTGGATTAGGGTTCATTCTCCACTATTGTGTCATTGAGACGAAACCAAAATTTTCCCACTCTATTTATAAGGCTTTTGAGCATTAGAGCGCCAAATTGTAGTGGGTTGATGGGAATGATGCAGACAGATGGGAAGAAGAGTGTGTGCAATTTATGGTATGATGTGCGGGCATTCATGCGGGATAATGGAGAATATCTTATAATTCTGATTCATCATTCTGCTATTCAAATTAAATTCTTAAATTTCTATTTACAGAAATAGGGTTATAAGATAATATTATATCATATCAATTCAATTATCATTTTAAAATTTTGATAACTCCTAATAATCATATCATCTAAATTGAAATAAGTATAATTATAATAACTAATCTAAATAAAAACTAAAACTAATCTTAAAGTAATTCAAATGTTTGAACTGTCTTGAAATAATCTAGACCAAATTTCTTTGTGTTGCATCACTCAGACTTGTATTAAAGACAATTTATTTTATTAAACAAGATTCTAGTTGGATTTGTTATTAGTTGTCTCCTTAAGTGAACTTTTTGATCAAGTGAGGAATTTCAAGATATAAGCTTCTTATGCAAGCATGAGATATGATATTTTGTGTTTGGAGACTTTTTTGATTAAAATTTTTATTTATTCCTGTAAATTTTATTATTGAATTTCACATGTGATTGATTTTATCTTAGTCAATTTTATCTGGTTTTTAATGACGCGTGAATTTTACTTATTGTATGACTTTATTTGTTTTGAATCTCTATGCATTTTTAATAAAGTCTATTTGCCTAACTTAGTTTGTTTTTTATTGTAGTATTAATGGAAAGCAACGAGTAGTTAAAATTAAGAGTTCACGACCTCTAAAATTTTGTGTGCGCATTGTATGATTTATTCATAAGAGATCTGAATTAGAAGTATATCAGAAAAGATCATGCTTCAGTTTCAAATTCATCTCCAAATTTATAATGGATTTTCTTCTAGTCATTGTGACACAAATGCTGTTACTAATTAATCTACTAACTTGAAACTTCTGATAGGATTTTGGAATCCTAAATGAAACGTTTAACTACTAAAAGTGAGCAAATGATGAATTTCACTACATTTTTGGTTCGGTTAGTTAAATTACAGCCCATTTTTCTTAGTTGTATTTAATAATATGAAATAGATAATTTATCCAGAACCAAGGATTTTGAATTAACAATGGCATAGAACTACCAGACATTATATTTTTGCTAATAATTTCATACAAGATCATAGAAAATTTCTTTGTGATAAATTCATCCATTCTAAGATTATAACAAATATTTAACTAGAGAACTTTTCAATATTTAAATTGGTTAAACACGTTCAATTCTTATACTACAAAGGATTAGCATATATGTAAAGAAAAAATATTGTGAAATAATATTAAAAGATGGAGGAAAAAAAATCATAGAAGTTTGGATTAAGTTTTTGCTCTCAGAATTGAGAATGCCTCTTCCATGTGGGATTTAGCACCACTAATATTCTTCAAGGTGCCTTGAGACCATTCATTGCCTCCATCATATCATGGTTAAGTAGAAGTTTTGCTAAATATCTCATTCATTTTGAACCGAACACTCGATAAATAGATGAGATTGATTGGAATTGGACTATTGAAGAGAATTGATTTAGAATTTCGTTCTAATATTTGTGGAATATATATGTGATCCTATGAGATCTCATAATAGGAAATTTACAAAATTAGGGAATAATAATTACATAACAATTGTAATTGTCCATGGATTGATGATTTAGTAGAATAATGTTATCGTAGAATAATTCTAGTAGTCACAAATTAATGATCGATGAGGTGGTTGCGGGAGGGAAAGAAAATTGGATGAAAGTCTTATCAGAAAATTATATACACATTTCGGATTTCCCCTCATGCAAAAAAATGACTGTTATCCATTCCAAGCTTTGCCAAATAATTTTTGAAAATAACACTGATAACACTTTACTGAGAATATCAATTACTTATTTGCTTGTGGTTAAATGTGGAGTACATATGAGAGCATCATCTAGTTTCACCTTTTATAAAGTATTTATAAACATCAATATGTTTTGTACATATGTTGCATCAGAAAATGTACAATATTGATACCTGATTTGTTGTCATAATAGAGCATCATAGGCAGGGGTGGAGCCATAATTTTTTTTTAATGGGTGCACAAATGAATCACTTTAAAATTAAAGTCAATCATTTTTATGGAGACATTAGACTGATATTGATGGTTTTGCATTTTTTTTAACTTTAAAATAAAAATGATAAAATATATTGTAAAAAAGATATTAAAAAAGAATATTACTTGAAACAATTGTATAATTATTTTATTATCAATACTATAATCATTTCATTAAATTTTATAATATGAAAATTATATAGTAAATTTTAAATCCATTCTTTGTAAGAATTATGAATTTATTTGAATGCACATGGGACACATATTTGTCTTTATAATATTATTTAAAAATCATATATTTTAAAATATATAAGAAATATAAATTATTATTAATATATTAAAATACTAAATAAAGGATAATTAAAAACCCAATATAAATTATAAATAACAATATAATTTAATTTGAATAAAATATGATTAAAAATTAATTTAAAATTAACTTAATTTTTATATGATCAACTAAAAAAATTAAATAACTAATTAAAGATGTTAAAAAATGAAAAATAATTCCTTTTAAAACTCATGAACATCATTAAGATGCTCCTTTAAAGGTTGATATTGACTTAACACTCAATATAAGCCACAACTAAAAATATAATTTAAATAAAATAAAACAAAATTAAAAATTAGTTTAAAATTAAGATAGTTTCTTTTATTAACTTAAAAATAATTAAATTTGCTCAAATTTCCTTAAAATGTATAACATTTTTATTTAATGCAAACATAATTTGTGAGAAAACAAACCTAAAACATAGAAAAATAAAAAATAAGAAAATAAAAATGACAAAAACATTGACCTGGCTCCCTTCCTTATTTGTTTATTGTTTAGGGTTTACATACATTCCACTCAATTCCTATGTATTTACATATCTAATACCTAAACTTCAATTTTGACATATGCACGTTACCTATACATGAAAAGATGTATTTTACTTTTTAAAAATTAATATAGTGGTATTTTTGTTGTGATATGAAAGATTTGGGTGGTTTGAATGTATAAAATAGAATTAAGGTGTTAGATATTCAAACACGTAGGAATTGGGTGTATGTATGTAAATAACCTTTGCGAAAGATGCAACCGATCTATGGCGATGACCTGACCAAGCAAATATGACACAAGAAGTGTTAGTCTTGTGCCGGGCAGTAAACACACTAGAGCCGACTAAAGGCAATATCTAAAAAACTAATGATCGACTGATACATACATTGCTCGAGAAAACATAATAAGGAAAAAATTGTGAGACAAATGTATCGACCAACCAATAAAAATTACATTCATTTCTTTGGGGAAAAGTTACTAAATTTTCTTTATAAAAATATTTGCTTTTTAAAATGCTTAAAGAAAAATTCAAGTGTAGGAAAATGAAAAGCATCAAGCATTTGAGGATCTCCCATCGTCTTCGATGACACTCTTCCCCTCTTCCCTTGGCGCCTTTCTCTTCCTCTTCTTTTCCCGGAGGACCTTGAGCCTCTTCATCCTCCTCTAAGACAGAGAGAGAGGAACATTGCAAACTTTCGAAGGCCTGACCACTTCGGGTTGACAAGGTTATACTTCATGAACCGCTAAGCAATGCCAATTTGCAATTGCCGAGCGAGCCCACCGAAATGCTCCTCAGCCATTATCGAAGCCATTGCATCCTTCAAAGACTAATTTTCTTTTTGAAGGGCCCACAATCTTTCAGAATGATCAAGCATCTCAGACTGTTTATCGGTTACAACAAGCTCCCACCTCGTCTCATTTTTCCCCAACCCTGGCCCTGGTGTCAGATGCTTTGACTTATCTTTCGCTGCGACCCATTTTCCCTCCGCTTGATCGAAGGTCATGGATTGAAGGTGTGAGGCTTGCCACACCATCAAGTTTTGCCGATAGGTTAGAGTATAATGCTCCGAGCGTTCCAACTTCCTCAAGGACATTGCAAAAGCTTGGGACCAGATGATCTCGACAAGAACCGAAGGATAATCTATGATCGAGGAATCAAAATGCCAATGCATCTTGGTGTCAATCATGGCATATTGCTCGTCCAAACTGGTCCATTCCTTCGCATCCTCATTCTGTGAAGGAATTCACTCTAGAAGAGAATCCTTTTGCTTCTTAAGGGAAAAAGGAAATGGCATAGTACTTGGACTGATGGTGGGAGCCTTTCCCTCTCGGTGGGGTACTTCTTCTTCACGTGGAGCCTTTTCCTCTTTGTGGGAGTCTTTCCCTCTCGGTGGGGTACTTCTTCTTCACGTGGAGCTAGCACGGACGCTAGCTCAGGCTCATACTTGAATCCGGTTTCAGTTTAGGTGATAGGGGATGACTATCTTGCTTCACCCCTTGCCTTTAAATCGATGAATGATGAACCGAATGGTCGAGGGGTAGTCGATCCTGCCTCTGTTTTCTCTCTTGAGGCTTTTTTCTTTCTCCTCAACTTTGCCAGACGTCAGTGTGCTCGGTGACGTTTGGTTAACATCTTTCGGGACTCTTTGCGACATGCCCTTGAGTACTAACACCTAACAGAGAGGGTTTAACTTTCCTTTCAATGATGGTCAAGTCACTAGTAGAAACTTATCAGACAACTAAAGTGGTTTGAGAGGCAAAAACTAAAAACTCTACACCTTTGTTCTTGGGTTTGACGGAAACAATCCCAAACATCGATCTTTCGACAATAACTTCAACTTTGAGGCGGGCGCGGGCACTCGCCATCACAGCTTGGGAGAGGGCAGACTTCCCTCGAGGCTTCTTCCTAGTAGCACGGGTGATAACCTCTTTCTCTCGTGCGATTTCCTGGGCATTTGTGGTTGCCCAAAATATTTTTGTCATCGACCCACATTTATTTGATCACAAATTCACGGTACTTGATTAAATACTTGTTATTCAATGTACTGTAAAGCCGATAGGTGTTGGCCTCAATCATCGCTCCGTAGACTCTTAAGGTGTCCAGGCAAGGATTTCAGCTTCTTCACAGCACCTTCTGACAGAAGGATGCGAATCTCCCAACTACTGATGCATGCGTCAACTATAAAACACGTTTTTCAGTCTTTTATTTTGTCTCTAGCCCAAGCTGACTGATAATTGCATTTATCCATCCCAACCAACCCAAAATGTGAACATATGGTTGAATGGTTAGTCGATCGACGAATCTCCATCCACCAATAAAAATTTATGTACGTCATTATCACCACTATGTAGTTCGACAGTACTTGAGCTGGAATAACGCCATACTGCTTAAAAATCAGTCAAAGCTCTTGACACATGGTAACCGAAGACAATACTTGAACTGATCTTTGATAGAACACGAGATCTAACCTGTAATTGTATGTCGCTCTGTCATGACTTGCTACCGCTTGGAATTGGATGGTTGGTTCATAAGCACAGGTTTCTTGAAGGAGCTCCACTTGGTTTGTAGTCATGGTGGACATCTCGGTTGCCAAAATCAAGCCGAAGAGTTTTTTTAGAGAACTTGGGAGCCATTTGGAGAAAACATAAAGGGACATAAATCTTGGGGAAAAGAAGAAAACCAAAGCAGAGAATGGAATAGTCATGTGAGAACCTGGGACCGATTTATAGGGCGAGGAAGGAAGCTAATTCGTCATAGGGGAAAAAGTGTCATTTGCCACCCAAAATCGCCTTGATAAGGAGTCATGTTGACACATCTCAAGACAAAATAAAATAAATTTTTATATCATAAAATAAAGATTGCAAATTATCGCTCGGAGGCTACTTTGAGCGAAAATACTTTACAAGAATATCTTTCACCGTTTCAGTTGAAACAAACCCTCCCTGAAAAAACTTTTTGTACAAAACCTCACCCTTGACCTAAAGCAGTCTACCTAACAGATCTTTGATTGGACCCAATTGCTCCGCGCAAAGGGCGGTCATCTCTCTTCAGATGGTGACCATTTTCTTGCTCCATTTGATCGACCTTCTTAATGCGGGCCAACAACCCGCACATCTCTTTGACTTGGTGAAACCCTATTGCCTCGGCGAGGGAAGCCTCTTTATCTCGCGAGTATTGCGCTAGCGACCCTGGGGTAATATGGCATCTGCTAGTCGCCTCTCCAACATCCTCCCCTACGCCGCTCGGATGGTTAGTCCCTTTGTTCTCGCCTGGGAGCCGGTTGTCTCCAGCTGATCTTTGATCCACAACAGCTGGTGCGACTAACTCTTGTCGGATCTGCGCTAAGATCTGTTGAGAGGGAATCAACCGTCATGATCTCCATACCAAGGTGGGCTGGACCAAAAGACATCATAAATAAGAATTTCAGGAAAATTAAAAATTAAACAACTAAGATCAAAATTTCACATTCTAAGGCCCACTCGAACGGGGTAAAAATACCCCGCCCTCACCAACACACCACGGTTGGCGACGGAGCATCAGCCGTCCCTTGCACCCATGGGGGCACCACCATGCCAGTCGCTTCTTGTTTGGTCTGATCAATGGGCGTGGTCTGAGCTTCAGTGGGAAACAAAATCGACGACTTGGTAGGAGGGGCCGATGGCTTGGTAGGAGGAGCCAACGACTTACCACGAGGATCAATCAGTCGACCTCTGACCTCTGTCTTCTGTCCTCTGCTCAAGCCTCTTCTCGCTGATAATCAATGAGCGAATCAGATGATCCCACCTGGTCCTCTTGATCAAGCTTCTTCGTCTTCTTCGACACAACATTTTTCTTCTTCTCTCCTTCCGATTGAGGCTTCAACTTCATCTCACCGAAAGCCTTCAAGTAGGCAGCCCTTTCAAAGGCCTTGGATCCAATCGCCGCTCCGTTCACCATGGAAATGCTCGAGGTTCAGGCATCCCAAAGCAATGGGAAGATGGGAAGGAAATGGGAAACATCAACCCTCCCACGCCCTATTCATAGAAACACAGGCCACATAAACTCAGAGAGTTTAGTTATTGAATAATTGAATTATCATAAATAAAAATTTTCTTTTACATTAAATTTTCTTGTTTTTATTGCAACACGCTTTCAAGAAGTAAGAAAATCAGATAACTAAATTTGTATATGAAAAAGTGCTAGCATAAATCTTGAGGAAATCTGATGGCGCAGACATGACATGACGTGTCAAAGGAAGACCCACTGATAGGAGACTTGAAAGTTCAATTGTTTGATCGAAAACATCAAGAGCAAGATTAACAAAGGCAACCGAACGATTCTAAGCTGGGTGTTCGACCGAAAGCGGATTGTAAGGAAACATAAACCATTCCCCATGACCAAACTAACCCCTCAGGTCCTACAATTCTATCGAAGATGTCTAATAGCCTCCTTGAACATCATCAAGAAACAAAGAGACGAGTCTTAGCCATCCCTTAAGACCTCTTCTTCTAAGGGCGTCTATCTATCAGATTATAGTGAGGCACCCTTTACTTGATAGCCTAGGTCTGTCCTGCCAACAAGATTTCCTTGTCAAGGATCGAGGGTCGGCGATTAGATTTGATCAGCTGATCAGTTCGGCCAGAGCCAACCGAGGCCATCTCGCCGACCCTTTGCCAGTAAAAGTTCAACCAACCGGCAACATTAAGTCTAACAAGCCAACCGTCTGACTTCTCTGGTTTAGTCGACTGACATCACTTATTAAGGGCTCTCTAGCTCAATCACTCGACCTTAGAATAACCATGCTCTGGGCCCACATATGTAAAATTCCTATAATAATTTGTACAACGCTCACCAAAGCAGAGGCATAAGTGTAACTTTATATATTGTACTCCTCTTTTCTCTATATATAGGGATCGTTCTATGAATAAAATTTTACACGCTTGTTACGAATTATTGTTCATTACTGTTCAGTTCTCTCACTTGTATCTTACCCTATATTTTTCAGGTGTGATTCACTAACATATCAGGATTTGAAACATCTATTAAAACATGATATTTTATTATCTAAAACAATATGATTACTTTATCCTCATAAATTAAGTCATGTGGAGTAATTAGATTAGTAAATTTTAAATCAGATAATCATAATATTTGTGAGATAAATCACAAGTGCGTTCATACTGATCGATAAGATTTGACGGTTGGATAGGTGATAATGACAGTAAAGCTGTTCTGGATGCATTCTTTTTGGGAAAAGCTTTTGCAGAGGCACTTAATGAACGGTTGGTTTCTGCTGTTGGTGAGGTCTTAGGTGTCTTCGGTCAATGGCAAGCTGAGCAGCAAAAACAAGTACAAGATTTTCAGGTGACTCGAACTTCTTTTGGCCCTCCTTTGTTCCTGACATATTGAGACGTGTGATGTCATTCATTTTAGTGCTATATATTTTTTTACGCAAGCTATTCAAATATACCACGAAATCCTTTTGTATTTACTTACCTAACACTTAAATTTTGCTTTTTACATTTATAGCACTTTATCCATACATGGAAAGGTGTATTCATTTTTAGAAATTAGTCACAGTGTTATTTTTTATGTGGAATGAAAGATTCAAAAGTATATTTCACTTCTTAAGTGTTAATCGCAGTGGTATTCTTTATTATGATTTAAAAGATTTGAGTGTTATGAATGTAAATATTAAAAAAAAAAAGTGTATGCGTAGGAATTGTCATTCCCTAATCTTTTAATTGAGGCTAAAATTGTCATTCCCTGTGACTATTTCAGCCCATATTTAAAAAATATGGGACTAAATTGGTATTTTTATAAACTCTAGGGCAAAATTGACGCCATACAAAGAGTCAGGGAACTATTTTGACACATTTCTAAAATGTTTATGGCTCGGATGTGAATCTGTCTGCGTTAATTACAAATAAATATTCAAAGAATCTAAACAAAAATGGAAAATAAAATATAAACTGAGAGTTTTCTATATCCTTGATAATGCAAAATTTGGGCACATGTACTCTTATTGAATAAAAATCTTCATTTCAGCTGTGAAACTGTCTAAAATTTATGTTCTCATTTTCATATCTGGATGCTGGTTCAATAAAAAGTTGTTCAATTGTAGGAAGATGTCGTAGTGAGAGCGAAGATAGCTAAGGAAAAGGCTGCATTGGAGGCCTTGGAGCTGCAGGGCGTCATTTCAAAATCTTTGACGAAAACTCCTATGGGTGATGCGCCGGTCTCACCGACCCCAAATGGTGGTCTGGTGGTGGAAAACCCTCTCAGTGAAATTCTGAAGGATTGAGTTGTTCTTCTGGATCATCTGGTAAACAACAAGAGCAGAGACTGCACACTACAATTTATTTGGTGATATCTGACATAAATTTTATAATCATGATTTTATCTCTGTATTGTCAAGTAGTTTTACATAAACACATATATAAGCCTTTTCTATGTCATATGTTACTTTTTTGGGGCATTTATATACATACCCCCCAATTCTTATGTATTTACATATCTAACGCCTAAACTTTATTTGTTACATTTATGCTACCCAAATCTGTCATATCACATGAAAATACCATAAGTGAAATACACCTTTTCATGCATGTAGGTAAAATTTGAAGTTTAGGTGTTAGATATATAAATAGAAAGGGATTGAGTGGTATGTATGTAAATCTTCCAACTTTTTAATGAAATTTTCTGATCAAATAAAATCAAAAAATTAGAATTGAAACTTTAGAATTACAAGGCTGTAAAAGGATTAAGCAAGATGACCATCAATTTCAGGCTCCTACCACATTATTGGTCTAGGCATCATCCAATCACTATATGAACATAGCTTAGGACCTATTTTGTTGCCTAAAGTTAGAGCACATTTTAGAAAATTGTGAAAGTTGTTAGACCCATCTCTGTTTGTGTGTAAGCGATAAAAAATTGTTTTAAATTTTATTACTTCTTTCACAACTCTCTCTATAGTATCTCTTAGAAGTCTTCTTTGGGCATTTGCATACATACTACCCAATTCTTATATATTTACATATCTAACGCCTAAACTTTGTTTTTTATATTTATGGTACCCAAAATTTCCATATCACTTCAAAAGTATAGGAAAATGCTCGTCATCATGCTTAGTTAGGAAGGAATTTATTTTCTTCTCTTAAACTATATTTTACTAATTGTGTTTTCTTTTATTGGATATTTCCTATTACTTTAACTTTTAACTGTGAAATGCATCTTTTCATGTATAGATAAGGTGACATATATGTAAAAATTGAAGTTTAGGTGTTAGATATGTAAATACATAATAATTGATTGTTATGTATATAAATCGTACTAAATTTTCTTCATGTTGTGTTAGAGCCTCGCGCCAAGCATGCTGACCATGATTCATTCAACATAAATTGAGGACTGAGGCTTTTCTTAGCAGAGAGCATGTAAAAGGGAATTTTTTGGGATCTTTCTGGAAATTTGGAGGATAGTGAGTGATGTGTAGATTAGTTTAGGGTTTAGACTGAAGAGGGCTGCTGATTTAGTATTAAGTTGAATTTTCATTGGCAAGCTCTCAAATAGGATGCTTTTGATACTAAATTCGGACGCAACAATTCTCTTCTATGTTGCATGGATATGGATACGGATACGATGACACGGACACGACAAAGACACAAGACACTTTTATTATTAAAAATACAGAACACGGTCACACCATTACAATAAAAATTATTAAAAAATATATAAAAATTAAATAAATGAAGCATTAAGAATAATACACGAGAAAATAAAAAAATTAATTACATTAACTTTCACAAAATTTTTGTTTAATATTAATTGATATTAATGTTCGATTTAATAGGTTTAAATTTTAAATAAAATATAAATTACTTTTTTTAATTTTAATTATAAAACATCTATCATATATGTTTTTTGAATTTTAATTCACTAAAAAAGGGACACACGTGTCCCTTTTTTAATATTACTTAAATAGTTTCTTTTTTTTTTAATATTATTTAAATCAAACACATCGGGGTTTTGTTTGATATGTGTTCAGGGTGTGTCTAACATGTGTCTGGCGCATGTCCGACACTGCACGTCTCCTTAATTAGGAGTGTTGTTGCATCATAGATCCTCTTTTAACTCTAGATCAAGAAGAGGACTAGATTGTTTATTGGCAAAACTGAATAAATTTTCAGTATAATTTAAAGTGCTATTTGGTGAAGTTAGGTTTGATTCTTGCTTTAAATATTGGGAACAATTTAGGCTAAGCTTGGAATTTAAGTGATGCAGTAGCAAAGAAGTTGAACGCAGGAGAAAGAAATTAATTGGAATTATAATAGTAATAAAACTTCAAACCAAATGAATGAAAAATATCTTCTTGCATTAAATTTGATGTTATCTTTGCTTTGATCAAATTAATTGGATGATTTTGTTTTTGTGAGTGGATGGAAGGTGAGGGGGTCTTCGTTTGATGGTAGGGGTGTAACTAAGCCAAGTTTACTAGCGAGCCAACTTGAGCTTGGCTCAATAAATGTCTAGTGAGCTGAGCTGTCAACGAACTTAAAAGTGAAGCTCAGGCGAGCACCGACTCGATTTATTAGCTTGTCAGTCGGCTCGTTTAAAAAATATTTAATAAATATACTCAAACTATATTTATTATTTACTCTCTTTCATAATAAACAAGCTGGTTTGAACTCATAGAATTAAGCTTGAGCACAAACTCAAACTTGATTAATTAATCAAAATCAAGCTCAATTCGAGGGTGGCTCGAGCTCGATTCAACTCGTTTACACCCCGATTTGAAGGTCCCTATGATATGCCATTTCTCAAGGAGATGGCTTATTAAGGTGTCCCTTTTGATTGTTTTAAGCCAATGGTGTAGCGATGTACTCTTCACGTAGCTTGTAGCTCCGAACAGCTGCCTTCCTATATGTCTATTAATGGTGTGATTGGTCCCTATGAACTGGGAAGTGAAGTAATTAATATGCAGTTTTTAACTTCAGATTTTCCCACCATTTTCATTCCTTTTTAACTTCATTCAGATAGGTGCATTAACGCACATACCACCAAATTTTTATTTATTTACATATCTAACACCTAAACTGTACTTTTTTATTTTTATGCCACCCAAAGCTTTCCTATGACATAAAAAATTAAACTATTTAAAATTTTTAAATGTGAAATACACTTTTCCATGCATTGATAAGGCGGCATGCATGTGAAAATTGAATTTTAGATGTTAGAAATATAAATACATAAGAATTAGACCTTCTAGATATCAAATGCTTGCTATTTCTACTGCATTCTCCTTTGAGGAATATGATTATTTTTTGTCTGTTTGTTGCCTTGGCTTGTTTATAGAGAATGAGGACATGAAAAATTTTAAACTCAGCTCTTATGAAAATTTACATATCTAACACTTCAACTTCATTTTTTTGACACATATGCCATCTTTTTTTATGCATAAAGATGTAAATTTCACTTTTAAAAACTAGAAGTGATATTTTTATGTGATGTAAAGATTTGGTTGGTTGAAATGTAAAAAATAAAGTTTAGATGTCAGATATGTAAGAACATATGAGTTTGATGTTATGTATGTAAATGCCCCCATATATGATTGATTAGCTGCCTTCTGCTCTCAGTGCTGTGAATTCTGATAATTGATGAAAGCGATGCTAGTTTTCGTTTTGTCTTAATTTTATTTTCTTTGCAAGCCCGCCCTTTTTCTTTTAACAGAATTTCGATTTTACACTCATTATGACTTGGTCATTGTTAAAATTAGAGAATAAATATGAGAGAAGCATTTATTTACTTACTGCAAAATGTTGAAGTTTCATATTTACAAGGGCTAAACAATGCCAATTATAGAATTTTCAGTCATTAATAGATATTTTACACGCCAAAACATTGTGTTAACTGGCAGGTTAAATTGGCCTCTCGTACTGAAATTATTTATGATTAAATGACCTTAGTGCTGCATTGTTTTTTTTACTGTCCTTCATGCTAAACTATCTATAATTATTTCCCTCTGTTTTTTTTTTTGGAGGTTTGCAACATATTACTCAATTCTTTTGTATTTACATATCTAATTTTCAACTTGAGTTTTTACATGCGTACCATTTTACCTATGTATGAAAAAGGTGTATTTTGTTTTTTTAAAGTTAAAATGGCGGCGTTGAACCCAGATTTGTCATTTAAATCATGCCCAAGGGATGGGGCGTATTGACTGAGGTACAAAGAGGAAGAGAGGGAGAGAGGAAGAGAGGGAGAGAGGAAGATTTGACCCGTAGGGGCGAATGTGATGTTCCCGGGACTCTTAGATCTATTTTATTTCACTGAATATTTGTGTAAGAAGAGAGGAGAACCAAAAAGCCTTTTATATGAAATGATCCTCCTATTTATAGATGATAGGAGGACATAATATGAAACTACATTGTTACCCTTGCTTTAAAGAGAGGTCGGTCGTTCACTTGGTCGTCCAAATCAGTTTGTCTCAAGTTCCGTGCCAGATCAGTTCTGGGTCTCATGTATATAAATGACACCCAAAAATGATCTACCTACAGATTCGTGTAGACTCGGTCAGATTCATGTTGCATTTTACTTTTCGTCATCTACCTACAGATTGTCTCGAGATTCGTGCCAGATCATTTTTGGGTGTCATGTATTTAACATTGTCATTGTTGATCCCAAGCCCGGATGTGAAAAGTAGAGGGCTGCGTTAGGTAGTCGACAACCAGCGTAAAACTTGTCGAAAAAAATCATGACATGAATCCTTTAGATCTTTGTGTAAGTGTTAGGGCGTCCCCTGGAATTGACGCGCTGTATAGCCTGAATACAGTGAAAAGTATAAGTACAGTGAAAAGTGTGCAGGGGCCGCTACACCGGCGCCCGAGTGTAGTGTCAAATAAGTAAGAGTTCCCACTTTACGGACGGATGCGGATAAAGAAATTAATCCGTAAAACTAATGAAATTAATATTAGGATAAGATCTTTGAATATATGTACTATCAATGGTAAATTAATGGAATTAGTTGATATTATGATTCATAGAAAAATTAATATCTTATGTATTCAAGAGACTAAATGGGTTGGAGAAAAGGCCAAGGAGATTGATAACTTTGGTTTTAAACTTTGGTATTCTGGTAAGAGTCGCACTAGAAATGGTGTAGGTGTAATTATAGATAAGAGTTTGAAAGATATTGTTATAAAAATTAATAGAGTTGAAGATAGAATTATAGCCCTTAAAATTATCATTGATACTAAGATTTTTAAAATTATAAGAATTATAAGTAAAATTATAAGTGCTTATGCTCCTCAAGTATGTTTAGATATAGAGTCTAAAGATAAATTCTAGAATGACTTAGAAGACTTAATACAATTGATATCTTTTGAAGAAAGAATTTTTATTGGAGAAGATTTAAATGGACATGTCGGTAGAGCGGTGAAGATTTTAGAAATATTCATGGTGGCTACGGTTTTGGAGTGACTAATGAAGAAGGTAGAGCTATTTTAGATTTTTCTTTAGCATATAATTTTGTTATTATTAATACTTTATTTAAGAAAAGATATGAGCATCTTAATACTTATAAGAATGGATCTAATAAAATACAAATTGATTATTTTCTTATAAGAAGAAGAGATCGTCGAGATTGTAAAGATTGTAAGGTAATTCCAAGTGAGGATTTAAGTACCCAACATCGTTTATTAGTTGTAGATTTGAAAATGAACAGTTATAAATTAAATAATACTATGAATTATCATCGTAAAATTAGACGGAGAACTTAAAAGACTAAATAAAATTATTTTTATGAGTAATATTCAAGATTTCAAAATTTGGGATGTTCATGATGAAGCAAATGACATGTAGGATAAAGTAACAAACACTATTAAATATGTAGCAAAAAATGTACTTGGATAATCAACAGAATTTTTTTTTTAAATAATAATAGTTGGTGGTGGAATAATAATATGCAAGAAAAGATAAAATATAAGAAGTTATGCTATATAAATTGGTTTAAATGTAAAAGCTCAGAGAACTGGGAAAAATATCAAACGTCCCGCAAGGAGTATAAAAGAACAATATGTTACGCTTAAAATTCTACTTTTAATGTTAGATACTAAGTAGGGTGAAAAATTTATGTATCAACTAGCCAAATAAAGAAAAAAAAGTAATGATTTAACTGAAGTAAACTGTAATAACCAACCCCCAACCCCTATAGTGCATAAAAATGTTAGTTGCTATTTTCTGTCTCTGTTAGATAAAATTTTGCTATCTTTATTACAGGTTTGCATGCTCTTGGGATCATTCAGAGGAAGGAAGATCATGGTGCTCTCTCCTGAGCCGATTTCTGCAGTTCAAGTTAGTTAATTTTGATAAACTCATATGCTCATGCTATTGTAGTATTAATAGTGAGAATTTTTGGTTATTTGAGCAATGAGAAGGGAGATGGAGACTTGTTAGAATTTAACTGTTTTAAGATTGCTTGATATTTATATTAGAATGTAATAGCAGAACAGGAGTCTTCAATTTTGGTTATTTATTAGTCTCGTAGTACGCTGCATCGTCTGTTTTCAGGGAATTCACATACACACATTTACACACACACACACACCGTGCGCGCGTGCGCACACACACACACCGTGCGCGCGTGCGCACACACACACACACCTGCCTGTTAGTTGGCATCCATTGTATAAAACCCCTAAGGTCGGGGCTTCGAATTCCTTTTGGCACAATTGGTCTTAAGGAGGTTATACTCTAATTGTTAGACACATTAGAGGTAACTGAAGGCTCATATAATAACTTTTGGCAATTCCTTATATGTTTATAGCCTCTCACAATTCCTTATATATAAAAAATTTTATATATTTAACTATCTAGCATACTAGCACCTAAAGTTTGATATAGGCTTTTAAGTTATGTTTTGGAGTAGCTACAATGAAGCTATTGTAGAAAAAATACTCTTTAAAAAATACAGCGGTTATCACAATTTTTTTTTATTATTTTCAAAATATCATACCATAATTTTTTTGTAGTCACCACACTTAGTAATTTTAGATTGTAAAACATAACTTATCGCCACAATTTTTTGAAAAAAATAGACAATTTAATTTGACAAAATATCATTACATGCACAAAAGTGTATTTCACTTTGAATAAGTTAATTGTGATATATTTTATATATTATTAAAAATTTAAAAGTTTTATACAAATATATCTTAAAATTTAGGTGTTGACATATAAATACATAATATTTTTAGGCACATTGGCATACATAACACAATTCTTTTTGTATTTATACATCAAGCACTTTAACATTTATATTTACATAAATATCACTCAAATTTTTTAACATTATATAAAAAGTAACGCAATCGCTATCTTTTTAAAATTGAAACATATTTTTTCTCTCATAAGTTTATGAAACTAATGTATTATAAATATAAATGCTAATTTTGGGTGTTTGATATGTAAATACATAAGAATGTTGTGGTATGTATGTAAATTTCCCATACTGTTTTTGTATGATGAGGGGCGCAGTGTAGAATTTTGTGGTATGTTTGTAAATCGCCCTTTGGATTCTAACGTCTGCACGAGCTTTGATCCAATGTAACATACTCGTTGCGTCGTATAGAAAGTTTTATATGTAATGCAGCGTACCTTCTCCTCCTCTCCCCACTGTTCATCTCTTGCAATTTAAGATAGTCTTTTTTCCCCTATTTATGTATCTGACCTTTTGAGGATATTTTTGAAATTTATATTATGTTTATTTATATAATTTTTTATTATTTAAATGAGATTTATATATATCATGAAAATGTATATTTTCATATGTATTCACATGAATTTTCATATTTACATGCATATCACTCTAATTTTTAACATCACATAAAAAAAGATGACCATCACTCACATTTTCAAGCATAGATTTATGATACAAAATATAATAATTGTAAATATCGAAGTTTGGGAGTTAGAAATGTAAATATTGTGATATGTATGTAAATTTTACTTATATCTATAAATTTTGAGGTCATAAATACAAATATGTGCATGAAAATATATATTTTATTTTTTAAAAATTAGCAATAAAAATATTTTTTTGAGAAGTTAAGAATTTAAGCCAAGCATAATAAGTTTAAGGGGCATTTACATACATACCACCCAATTATTGTGTATTTACATATCCATCCCTCGAATTTTATTTTTTACATCATTACCAGACAAATCTTGTATATTATATCAAAAATATCATTAACTTTATGTAAAAAGTAAAATTTACCTTTTTCATGAGATGAGATATATGTAAAAATTGAAGTTAATGTAAATACATAAGAATTGGGTGGTGTGTGTGTAAATCTTCCAAAAAAAAAAAAAAAAAGTAATTAAATAAGAATTATAGGGTATGTATGTAATTTTTAATGATAATTTTTATTTAAAATTCTATCTTCATAGCAGCAAACTGTAGTGTAAACCGTACTCTAGATTGGCCGGAGGCCGGAGCTCTCCGACCAGGCCAACAATCCCGGCGTGGTAACCGCATCAAAATAGCGTTTTTGAGCACCATGCTTTATTCATGGCGCCAACCTTCCTCCCTTCTTCAACCTCTTATATATCCTTCTAACCCCTAACTCTCCTCCAACATCAAACCTTTCATCAATTTCAAAATGAACCATCTTCTTCCACTCTTCTTCTTCTTCTTCTTCAAGCTATCTTACAGCCAAATTCTTCCCCTAACCATTTTAAACTCCACCATTACCTCTCCCCGCCTTGAAACCTACATCATCCACCTCCGAAAACCAAATTCCATCCATCCCTTCACCGCAGAAGACCATCTAAACTACCACAAATCCTTCCTCCCCACCTCTTCCTTAACCTCCGGCGAGCCCCGCCTCATCTACTCCTACCAAAACGCCATCATCGGCTTCGCCGCAAAGCTCACCTCCGACGAAGCCATTTCCCTCGAGCAAAACAATGGCGTCCTCCACATCATTCCCGACAGACTCCTCTCCCTCCACACCACCCACATCTCCGATTTCTTAAACCTCCATCCTAAAAGCTGCTTCATGAAAGATGCCAACTTTGGCAAAGGATCCATCATCGGAATCCTCGACACGGGTATCTTCCCCACCCATCCTTCCTTCAAAGACATCGGGATCTCTCACCCTCCCCCAACTAAATGGAAAGGCCATTGCGAATTCAAACCAGCCATGTGCAATAACAAAATCATCGGAGCTAAATCCTTCATCCATGGCCAAAAGGACCCGCCTTTTGATTCCGACGGTCACGGCACCCATGCCGCTAGTATTGCCGCCGGCTGGCTTGTGAAAAACGCCGGCGTTCTCGGAAACGCGCGGGGAACGGCGGCTGGGATTGCCCCTGCGGCTCACCTCTCCATTTACAGAGCATGCCAATCTAACGGTTGTTTGGCTAGCGATGTGTTAGCAGCTATCGACCAGGCTATCTCTGACGGCGTCGATGTTCTCTCTATTTCTCTCGGCGGCGCCGCCATTCCTTTCTATGACGACGCTGTAGCCATTGGAGCTTTAGCCGCCGTTGAAAGAGGGATTTTTGTCAGCAGCTCAGCCGGGAACGCCGGCCCTGTTTCGGCGACTGTGGAGAACGATGCTCCATGGATGCTCACCGTCGGCGCCGATTCAACGGACCGAGCAATCCGCGCCACGGTGTTGCTGGGAAACGGAGAAGAACTTAACGGCGAATCTTCTTATCAGCCAGTTGGATTCACCTCTGTTTTGCTTCCGATAGCTTACCCAGGGGCTCGAGGCGGCTCGCGTGCAAAGACTTGCAGCGATGGATCTCTGAACCGGCTTAATGTTCGGGGAAAGATCGTTCTTTGTCACACAGGGGGATCGAACACCAGTATAGAAAAAGGAGCCGTTGTCACGAAAGCCGGCGGTGTTGCTATGATTCTTGTTAACGATGAGATGCGGCGGAGCACCGTGGAAGCTGGAGCACATGTGCTGCCAACGGCCGGCCG